TGGACCCTCCGACCTCCCCTCTGCCCCTCCTGCCCCACCTGGAGCCAGCCATGTGACTGGGCCATCCAGAGTGAGAGTCCCTCCTGGCAGTCACAGGCCCCGTCACAGGGCCACCCCTCCCCTGTGCTCCCTTTGACCAGGTCCCCTGAGCCTGTCCCCTGCTCAGGTCCTTGGACTCTGCCCCTCCTCCCCTTCTCCTCAGGCCCCGCTCACGCTGTGCGTCTTCTCCCCCCGCCCCAGGACCCCACAGCCCCTGACTCCGGGGGACACTTGGATCCCATCAGGTCCTCGTGAGGCAGTCCCTCGGCCTCCTGGTCCCGTGGCACCGTCAGCTGGTCACAGCAATATCCTCCCTGCTACCCGCTGCCTCCTGGGCACTAGAGCAGTTCCTGGTCTGGGTGAAGGGAAGGGGCTGGGGGAGGGACCCGAGGGCAGGCTGGCCAAGGCATCCTGGTGGGCAGAGGGGGCAGCACTGGGCAGGTGACCCCCAGGAGGCCAGAGAGGTCGGGATGGAGGGTAAGGACGCTGGCCCCCAGTGCTGCTCTCAACCCAGCCCAGCCTCCTGGGCCCCGGTTTCTCCCCTGGAGGGTGGATCACGCCCCTGGAAGGTACCGTGGGCTCAGCTCACCACAAGCTGGAAACAGGTCAGATTCAGACATGGGCGTCCTTGTCTGCAGATGAGGCAGGCCAGAGCTGGCAAGTCCTCCTGGGCCACAGGGCTCCAGGGCGATGGGCACCCCAGAGCCAATGTCCAGCTCAGCCCTGCAGGGCCCAAGGCACACAACAGGCGAGCCAAGCTGACTCTCCAGGGTCACCAGGGGCGGAGGCCTCCTCGAGTCAGTTAAGGGACCCACAGTGACGAGGACGGTGACGGTTCGGGTGGGGTGAGTGGCTTCCCTGCCAGGCTCTGGTGGGCAGGGGTGCTGGGGGCCTTCCGAGGCAGACTCGTCCCATTCCCTCCTTCAACCGGTCAGCCGGCCACCACATGCCCGTAAGCCCTGCCCTCTGCCAGGCTCTTGCCCTCTGTGGGGCTCTGTGGGTACCTCAGAGGGAGGGGGCAGGGAGGGTCCCCTGGGGCTGGAGGTGGGACAGGTGGGAACCCCTCGAAGGAGAGGCTGGGCTCAGGCGAAGGCCGGGACGTAGGGACAGGTGAGGACACGAGGGCTTGGCTTCCTCCTGCCCCTTCCACAACACCAAGATGGGGGTGCCCGGGGCCAGGACGAGGCAGGCTGGGCAGCTGCCTGGGAGGAGAGCCAGATGCCAAGGTGCCAGGCCCAGGGCTCGTGGCGAACAAAGACATCCACGGTGCTCCCGGAGCGGGCCCGAGGCGGGAGGGTTGGCCGTGGAGAGGGGACCGCAGCTGCCTCCCGACCCCCCTTGCTGGGCCACGGGCGATGGGCAGGGCTGATAGCAGCGAGTGCTGGGCCAGCCGTGGGGCCTCAGTGGGCCCCCCCAAGTCCTTTATCAGCAGGATGCACCGTTGCCAGGGAGCCGGCTGCAGGCCCCGCTCCGCCGTTGCCGGGAGGATTATCAGGAAGATTTGAGTCTTTTTAATTAAATCCAAGCCGAACGCAATTCTGCACCCGCTCGGAGAAGCCCATTCAGTATCCGTCGCCACCTCCGATAGCTTTGTCCCCACGGCCCTGCTATCAGGCCACCTATCTGGCCACAAGGAGGCCACCTCCATCCGCAGCCTGACAGCGCAGGCACCTGGGAGTGAACACGTGGGAGGTCCCCTTCCGGCTGCTGGCCTCTGGGGAACCTCTCCGGAGCCAGGCGGGAGCCAGGCAGAGTCATCCTCGCCAGCCACCGCTCTCCCGGCCACCCCCTCTGAGCTTGCCCTTGGTCCCAGGTTGTGCCTTGATCAGGTTTCTCAGGCCACAACCCTGGGAGGAAGGTTCTGCCCTTGTCCCCATTTTACAGATGAGAAAACAGGACTGAGCCGGGGCTTCACCACTGAGCCCCAGCCACAGCCCTTTTTAAATATTTTATTGGAGACAGGGTCTCGCTGAGTCGCTGGGGGCCTCGCTAAGTTGCTGAGTCTGGCTTTGAACTCAGGATCCTCCTGCCTCCAGCTCCTGAGCCCTGGGACCAAGTGTCCACTCTTAACTGCTGGGCCTCCCCACCATCCTGCCAGCCCTTTCACCATGGCCTCCTGCGCTCAGTGCCCCTGACTAGTGGTCACAATACTGACCGTGACGGTAGCAGTGGCCAGCATGCTCCGAGTGCCCGCTGGGCTGAGGCCGGTCCTCATTGTCTCCTTTGGGCCTCGCCGACCCTCCAGGGGCAGCTCCGGCTCTGTGCCACTTCTGGAGGCCCAAAAAGAAGATCCAAGAGGAATGTCACTTGTCCACCTCTCGAAGCCACAGAGAGCCCCTCCTGGTCTTCCTGGCTCAAGAGCTGGCATCGGCGGCCTTGCCCCTGGGTACAGGGGTGTGTATGCCCGGGAGAGCCTGGGAGCCAGAGTGGGCACTGGGGCCCAAGGTCTTGGAGCTGGTTCGAGCTGAGGCCAGGGGACATGATTAACTCAATAAATAACGAGGTGGTGTCGGGGTTCTGTTTAGTAAACCCGCCGTCCCGGCACCCGCGCCTGAGCCCTGACTTTACAGAGCTGTTTTCGCAGCAGGCCCCACGCCCTGTGCTGCTGCCGTCCTGCAGGGGGTGCCCCTCGCCCTGGGCTGCTGCTGTCCTGCAGGGGGTGCCCCACGCCCTGGGCTGCTGCCGTCCTGCAGGGGGTGCGAGCTCTTTTTAATTAAATCTGTCATAACAGATTGTCACGGAGGGAGCCCCCTAGCTCTGGGACGGCTGCCGGGAAGCCACTTGCCTTTGAGGACACACGGGCCCCGAACCTCGCTGTGGGGTTGGCATCCCTGACCCTTCCCCTTCCGTGCCGCACCACCAGGGAGGGGTTCTGGGCCGGGCCCCCTCCCCCAGCCCCACCATGTGCCAGGCTTCTGCCACCTGGATCCCTTGTCGGGCGGGAGAGCCTCCCACCCCAGGAACCAGGAAGAGACCTGGGCGGGACCCTGCCGAGTGACCTTAGGACAGTCCCCTTTACGGGCCACAGTAAGAGAACAGCTCACATGTGCCCACCTATCCTGCCTCCTGCGTACAGTTCTACGGACCCCCCACAGCACCCCACTTTACAGGCAGGAACAGTGAGGATCAGAATCAACGGGGATCACGCAACTTGATCCCCTGGGGAACAGGGGGGGGGCGGGGGATGGGTATTAGAGAAGACAGTGGGGCACTGCCATAAGTGACGTGGCTCTCATTTGCGCACTGTCACAGAAGGACATTTCGTGTCTGTTAGTCCCGTTCTTCAATGAGGAAGCTGAAGTCCCAGCCGCGGGGTGCCCCGCACACCCCTCTAACGTGTCCCGCCCCCGGCCTCCTGCAGCCTCCTCCCGGTCTCTGCCGGGCACCGTGGCCATGTCTCAGATTCTCTCAGGAAAGATTTTTCACTCGATTATAAAATAAAACCAGGGCAAACCAGTGTCAAGGACGTAGATGGGGACGTGAGCGTTGACTTTCCCAGGATGGCGTTCTCCGGGATTCGCCTCCCCCGACACCCTCCTGCTCACCCATCCACTCACTCGGAAGTGTGGAGCAGGGACACCCCTGTGCGGACCCCCCACCCGGCTCTCAGGACCCTCCGTGTCCAGGGGAGGAGGTGGGCCTGAGGCAGCACAGGCTCAGGAGTCTGAACCCCGAGAGTGAACCAGGCTGCGCTGCACCCTGGGGGCTCTCAGCGGGGTCAGGGCGGGCTCCTGGAGGAAGCCCCACTCCATGGGGCTCTGCCTGCGCTTCTGTAAAACACTCCTTGGACATTGGGCATGATGTTGCAGGGCTTCTGTCCTTTTCTGTCCAGCCTCGAGGCGCCTGCACTCTGCGGCCTCTTGACCACTCCACGCCTCCACCCGCTGGCCCTGGCTGGCTCTCCTCCCTCCCTTGGCCTGGCGGTGAACTCCTATTCATCCTTCAAAGCCCAGAGCTACCGTCCTCTCCTAAGGAGGTCTTCCCAGACGCCCCTCCGGGATGGGAGTATCACTCCTCCTTTGGAAGGCCCCTGGTCCTCTGTCAGCTGATTTGTCTCCCCCACGGGTCCAGGCCTCCCTGGGCCAGCTCAGAGCCTGCCCCCAGAGCCCTCAGGGCAGACGGTGAGGGAGGAAGACGTTTCCCTGGGACCTTGAGTGGCTGTGAGGCTGGCCAGGCTCATTCAGCTTATGCGGGGAGCAAGGTCTTGTCATTAGCTCTGGCCACCACCTACCTCCAGGGGCAGGACAGCCATTCCCCACGTCTCTGCCCAGCAACTGGGGGTGGCTGGCTGCACCACTGGGTGGTCATGGGCCCCTCCCTGAGCTGCTCTGGTCAGGGTGGAGTGGCCACACTGGAGAGGCCAGGACCTGTCGTCCCTGGGGGAGGGAGTGTGGGGTGCTGGGTGCTGTGCAGCCCATTCACAGTGTTGTTAAGGCCTCGTGAATCAAGCTCGGTGTGGGAGACTGGTCACTGTGACAGTCTGAATTAAATGGCCTCTCACCTTTGCCCTGAACCTCTATGACGCCCTCCCAACCTGAGCTTGCCCCCCCCCTTGTGGCTTTCCTAGGCCAGTGGCTTGTTGGCAGATAGCACACAATAGGAGGACTGGAAAGCATTGCCCAGTTCCTTCTGCCCCCAGCATAGCTGCCATTGCTCCTGCATTGCCAACCTCACTATTAGAAAATGCAGAGATATGGGAGACAAAAGGAAGAGAGCTGGGATGCTCAGCTGAGGTCACCCCAGCTGGCCAGCCCCCAGCCAACCAGCCACTGACAGACATACCCAAGTGCACCCAGCCAAGACCAGCAGATTTGCTCAGCAGCTCTTAGGTGAGTGAGATAGTACAGGGCAAGTTGGAAGCCACTAGCTGTTGGGTTGTTTGTCACTCGGCGACAGCTCACTGAAACATCCCATCTACACAGTGGCACAAAATACAGCCATTAAAAAGAGTGAGGCAGCCCTTGATGGGGAAGAGTCTCTAAGTCGTGTTAAGGTAGAACAGCAAGGTCCAGATATTATGCACAGAATGCACCGACTGAGTGGAGGAGGAAGAATTCCCGGGTATCTCCAGTCCACACCGTCTCTGGACAGCCACATCCCTGGCTGCCGAGGCTGCTTCTTGGGACTGAGCCAGGGCCTTTGGCCAGCTGGGGAGGAGAGACCCGCAGAGTCTTCTTATTTTACACTCTTCTGAATTCTGTGCCACATTCCTTTCACAAATGATTTTTTAAAAAATAAAAAGGTATCATTTAAGAAATAAATTGTTCTTCAAACAAGATGGTTTTAAAGTTGCTCTCTGGAGAAAGAGTTTGTTAAATGTTCACTGGCTTTGAATCCCAACCCTATCACTTTCTGCTATGTGACTGTGGCAAGTGGCCTTACCCAGTGACCTCACATCTCTGAGCCCCAGGTCGTTCTCCTGTTGAATGTGGACGAACGCAGCCCTGGGATAAAAAGAAAGCACATGTATTAAGTGCTCTGCTTTCCCCACAGCCTGGACTGGGGCTGCTCTCACTCTCGGTCCAGCCTAGGCTCCCTCGCTCCCGGCATATGCGAGGGAGCACTTTCAGCCCTGGCTTCAGCTGGGATCCCTTCTCCCTTCGGGGATGCCCCTGGGCAGCTTTTGTTCCAGCTTGACCAGGATGTCCCCCTCCCCGCTCCACATGGGGCAGGGAGCTGGAAATGGGGGCTCCCAAGGAAAGGGTCCCCCCGGGGATTTGAGATCTGGCAGCCCTCGTCTTCCTCTGTCCGGAGCATCTGAGGCCCATGTGTGAGCTCTCCTGGCCAGGGATTTGGGGTCCTTGTTTTATGGCTTCCTAATCCTCACTTGGCAGAGAGGAAGTGGTAGGTCCGCCCAACCGTGCAGAGGGGCCTGAGGATCCGCAAAGGGAAGATTCATGGCCCATCAAAAGGGCCTTTTGCCTTGGAGGCCGCCTCGGTCCTTCCCATGGAGATAAATCACAGCCGAGGCAGGAAGATAAAAGGTGCGGGATGCAGGCGGATCTTAGGGAAGAGACCGAGAGGCCCAGTCCCTGTGCTCCCGCAGAGCGGGCTGCTTGGCTCAGACCCGACTGGACTCCAGGGCAGGTCGCTCTGTCTCCGTCCCACTCCATTTACAAGGCCCTTAGCCTTGGGATGACCCTGAGATCCGTTCCTCAAATACCCGCCCCAGACCAAGAGGGTCTGGCTTCCAGGGCAGGCGACCTGTGTGGTCACCCAGAGCCCCAGCCTCCCGAGGACCTTGCGCTCTGCTCGCTCCGCCGTTATTCTTCAAATTCTTAATTACTTTGAGCAGAGGGTCCCACCATCTCCTTTGCTCTTGGCCCTGCAAATCAAATAGCCGTCTCTGGATGGCCAGGCGGAGCGTCTCCTGCCCCACCCCCCAGGCTCAGCTTGCCACCTCCAGCCAAGGGGACGCACTTCATTGAGTCCATAGAGGGACAACAGAACATAGAGACCTTATCTCGTGGTGGTTAAGGAAGTGAGTCCAGGTCCCCTTCCAGGCCTGGCACCCCGCTGGCTGTGTAACCTGGGGCTGTTATTGCAACACAGCTTCCTGTCTGCACAATGAGACTTGTCATAAGGCTGTTGTGACCGATCAATGAAAGTGCTTGAACTGTGCTGGGCACGCGCTGCTTTTGAGCCTTCTCAATGACAGCTGCATAGTATTATCCGGCCCTCGGGCCTGGCCCGCACTTAGGAAGAGGAGGTGGTAGAAGATGCCAACCTGGAAGGTCAAACCTGGACCTTCACCTGGGCTCCGGCTGGCAGGTGCCTTGTTCTCTGCTGCCATCTGCTGGGTGGAACGGGGCCCTGCATCACAGCTGGCCCCACAGTTGTGCTTCCATTAGCTAGAAAATGATCAAATCATCGGACAAATATTTCCTGAGGACCTCCTTGGGCACCGAGGATGTTGCAGTAAGTATAAAATACAAAGTTCTTGGCCCCTGAGAGCTGCCATTCATATGGGAGACATGAATAATAAGCAAGAAAACCATTCATTTGATTTCCACGAGTGTAAGGACAAGAAAAACAAACCCAGAAACCATCCGGAGGGTGGGGAATGGAGCCTGGAGCCACTGGGCAGAAGGACAGGGCCACGGGACACACTCTGTGCTGGGCACAGGATGAGGTGGGCGACAGGCTGAATGGCCGTGGGGGGCACCCACGGCTCTGCTGCTTGTCGGCTCCCCCAGCCTGGCTTCCCAGTCCCCTCCTAGCTCCCTGTGACAACCTGGGGCCACTCCCTCAGTTTCCCCCTCTGGAAAATGGTAGAACCGCAGCCACTTCTCAAAGAAGGGAGTAGTGGGGACTTCGTGGGATCCTAGAGGGAGGCCGTTTGCAAATCACATTTTTCTTATTCTCTATAACCTCCAAGCATGAGCTGTTGGCTGCGCCCTCACTAGAGCAGGAACTCTGTCTGGCCCTCTGGGGGTCGCCCCACCGGACCCTTAGAGAATTCTTGCTAGGGTCCCCTCCGTGATGCCCCCCGCCCTGGGCTAGGCAAGGCAACAGAAGCCCAGGAGGTGACTTTACTCATCCAAGGACACAGTGCAGGGCAACACAACAGGGGGCCTGGGTGGGTGAAAGAGTGGGGACCAAAGCTGGAGCAGGCGGGCTGAGGTCTCAGCTGCTCTGGGACCACAGCGGCCCTCTCCCACCCCCCGCCACCTCCACCCATCCTCCCAGGGTCTGCACCCAGGGCAAGATGGTGAGTGCAGGGAAGGACTGCCAGGGCTGGCCACCCCGGGCCCCCACTGCAGGACAGCATGGCCACGCTGACCCGCTCTTGGGCTGCAGGATGAGCTCCTCCACCTCAGGCGACCCCGGGCACGCTGCCTCCACCCCCCCCCTCAGGTTCTCATCTTTAGAGGGAAGCAAGCAGACCACGGGGGTGGGGGGGGGATGGGGAGATTGTGGAGCCTCCCTGTCGCCCCCACCAGGGCAGTAGCAGGCATATGCCCAGGAACTCACCTGTGCCATCTCACCAGTAAGTTGTCAGGCTGTGCTGCATCTCAGAGCAAAACTATCTGAGTGGACAGGAAAACACCCAAAGACCTTGGAAGCCTCCCCTTAGGGGCCCTCCCTTCTGGCTCAGCTTTCAAGATAAAAATGTCTCAGGTAGATTTAATAAGGGTTGGAAGCCCAAGAGACTCAGACCCCAAATGTATCATATCACCATGGGGCTGTGGGTGTCTTCCTCAAAACTCCTAGACTACATTAGAAAGTTCCAGAGGCCTGAGGGTCCCTGGCAGAGCAGGAAGGGGCTCTATGCATTCTTAGAAGACTGAGCCATTGTGTTAGTCAGTTTTCCATTATTATAACAGTTACCCATAAAAATCAACTTATAAAGTAAAAAAGGTTTGTTTTGGCTCACGGTCTGGAAGTTTTAGTCCATGACCAACTGGATCCTTGCTTTGGGCCTATGGTGACACATCAAGGTGTGGTAGAGCAAAGCTGTTCACCTCATGGTCAGGAACAAGAAAAAGAAGGAAGGGGCCCAGGTCCCACGATCCCATGACCAGAAGACCCCGCGAGACTCCGCCTTGTAGAGATACCGCCACCTTCCAAGAGAGCCACGGTGGGGAGTGAGCCTTTACCATGTGGGCCTTCGGGGACATTCCAGGCCCAAACTGCAGCAGCCAAGGAGTGAGGGTGCTCAGGCTCGGAGTGGACAGGGCTTCAGGCCCAGCCGGGAGCCTCTGTGGTCAGCCACTGTCCTTCAAGGCATCGCTGAGGAAGCCTGCAGAATTCCCACTGTGGCTCGGTGAGGTGAGGCCTTGGTCCCCCCTTTACAGACTCTGAAGCTGGGGCTGAGAGGGAGCGTGACTTGCCCAGGCCTCTCTGTGGGAAGAGCCTGAGCCACATCAGGCCTGAGACCCCACAGCCCCAAACCCCCACGGGTCTCCAGACCCCTGCTCCTGCCAGACTCGGGGCAGACTGGGCCGTGGACAGGATGCTCGTGGGATCCGGGTGGGTCCAGGCATCTTGGGCTGCTCGTGTGGAAGAGGGGAGTGGGGGTCCACAGCTCTGGGTGTTGAGAGGACTGAAGAGGTTCAGGATGTGAAGCACTGGGAAGGACCAGACTCAGGACAAGAGGTCACATTATCATTGTTAATGTCCCACAGGGGTGAGCTTCCTGTCTGGGGCCCTGATTGTCCTGCTTCTCTGTGGCTGTCACTGTGCCCACACCTGGGAATGGGAGGGCTGTTCATTGAGTGACTACTAGATGCCAGGATCTGCAGCGAGGTCCTAAAGCACATCAACTCATTTAATTCTCAAGCCTGAGATCACCGTGAGCCTCTGTGATTCACAGGTGTGGACACGGAGGACTGGAGAGAAGGACCCGCCCAAGATCTCTCGGCTACTAGGTGGCAGAGCTGGGACCTCAAGGCCGGCAGGCTGGGTCTGCACTAGGAGTCTGATTCCACGGGAGGGAGGACCCTCTGGGCCAGGGGAAGGGCCTGGGCCTCCTGGCCTCAGTGAGAGGCAGGAAGCTGGGGAGTCCTTACCCCTTGGGGACACAGACCAGCCGCTGGGAGGACGAGGGAGTGCATCTGTCTCTCCGTGAGGCCGGGAAAGGGAGGTGGCTTTTCTGGGAGAGTCAGCAAGGCTGCCTGGCAGAGGGTCCCTGGAGGAGGGAGAGACAGCCCAGGACAGCACAGGACAGGACGGGAGGAGCAGTGGCCAGCAGGGAGTGGGGAGGGCACAGATGGGAAGCAGGGCGGGTGGAGTGGGAGCCAGGCCTGAGCAGGAGGAAGCAGAGAACAAGATGGGAGATAAGATTTCAAAGGAGAGTGAGGCAGGGCAGCAGCCCTGGCAGGGGGTGGGGAGGGCCCAAGACTGCAGAGGGGACCAGGGACAGTTCCAGGTCAGGCTCCCCGGAGCTTTGTCCTACTATGTCCCCAAGCACTGTCCCACTGCAGGAGTCCCGTCCTGCCCTCATAAACCACTGTCCCGCCTCATCCTCAGCCACATCCACTCTGTCCCCGTCTAGTTGAGACTCATGCCCATCACCAAGGAGTGCACCAGCACTGTCCCCTGTCCCGGGGCACTGTTTGTTGACCCCACCTCTCCAGGTCTGGGCTCCGCAGCACTGGCTGGCCAGCCCTTGCCCGGGGATGGCGTTTACGGCTCTGAGTGGTCAAGGTCCCCATGCAATGGAGAGGAGGGCAAGCCCCACCTCACTGGCTGGCCACAGTGGGGGGCTCACCTTGGTCCCGCAGCCCCGCATTTCAGAGGGGTGCTGCAGAGGCCAGCAGGAGCCTCGGGGAGCACTGAGAAAGGCCCTAGAGCTGACCCTGGAGCTGACCCTGGAGCTGACCCTAGAGCTGACCCTGGAGCTGACCCTGGAGCTGACCCTAGAGCTGACCCTGGAGCTGGGGGAGCTGAATGCTGCCCTCTCCCAGCCTCCGTTCATGCCTCATTCCAGGTGACCTGCAAGTGGCTCTGGGGACACGGGGATATGCAGATCCTGAGGCGGCCCCTGATTTGCAGAAATCAGCCCCAAGGCCCCCCACCCCTCCACGCGTCTGCACCAGAGACGTTGGCATCAGGCAGCTCCAGCCCCGGCTGCTGGGGCTTGGACAAGTCGCTCGCTCCCAGATGCTCAAGTGTCAGGTGATGCCGTAACTGGTGTCAGGAGCCTGTGAGGGCCTCGGCCACAGCAGGAGGGTTTGAGCTGGAAGCTTGGTCCCCAGGGCAACAGCGCCCAGATGACCACATCACAGGGCACCACCCTCCTAAAGGAGGAACGTTATCACTGCAGACGGGGTTCATTCTCTCAAGAGCAGCCAAGCCCTTCCCTGGCTTCTTGCTTCCTCTTGCCAAACGATGTCCCTCACATGGGCTCCCACCAGGAGAACGCATCTACCATGTTATGACACAGCCAGAAGCTCTTGCCAGAGGCCAAACAGATGAAGCCATTCCATCTTGGACTTTTAGCCTCTCAAACTGCGAACTAAATAAATCTCTTTTCTTTATAAAGTACCCAGCCTCAGGTATTTTATTACAGCAACAGACTCTGAAGGGACTGGGGCATTTAAAGTTCTACCTGGATTGTGGTATTGTAATTTCCCATTTATCTTAATCACAGGACATTCGAATACCAAGAGACACTCTAAAGGAGCTCCCGTATTCCAGACACACTCTTCCTTACTTGTATGATGGAGTAGCAGTCCAACTTCTCCTTGGAACTCTTGACCAACCTCTCAAAAAAAAAAAAAAAAAGCTATAACTCTCCTCTTTGCCTGATTTGGTTCAGAGGCATGAGGATCCCAGAGTGACCAGGAGGACGTCAGGACATCCAGTTCCTTGGAATCGTTGTTATGTCTCCTGATGGAAGCATTCCCCCCGATGGGAACTAAGATCTCTTGCCCAGGAAAGCATAAAGTCTCAAGAAGAGGAAGCAAAATTTTTCCAGTGTAATAATAATAGTGAGTCGTGGCCCTCGCTCTTCCATCCCTTGATTCCTGGTCCTGGAGACCCTGGCTATGGGAGTAGCAGCACCATGTTCCAGATGCAGCTTTCTGGAGAACCTCGCCCCGCACTGGAAGGCACCGCTGCCTAGACAGCACTGTAACGGAGTCTTCTGAGGCCACCCCGTTCCGTGGGACACTGCTGCCCTTCTTGGACTTGGGTGGGGAAGGACAACTTTGTTGGGGTTAGGAAGACCTCTTCCTCTGGCAAAACACACTCGTCAGAACTCAAGGACTCAAAGTGTCCCCACCTTCTCCAGAGCCTTCTCACATGCCCCCCCCCTACTTACAGGATCTCATGACTGACGTACAGTGCCCCGACTGTAACAGTGAACACCCTTCGAGGTCGAGGGTCGAACGTGCACTGTATTCAGTCAGTCACGCCATGAGGTTCTGCAACTGATTTTCAGCAGGTTCGGCACCGTGGCAGGAGCTGACGACTCTCCTTCAGGGCACAGCAAGGGGAGCTTAGGCCACTTTTGCAGCTCCTAAGCTGGGAATTTGGATCCCTGACCTCCTCCTTTCTTTCATTACTTTGTCCACTGACCACAAACCAATGCATTATTATGTCTTCGTTTTCCAAAAATGTTCAGAGCACCACACACAGAGTCACCTAGCTTCTTGCCTCTTTTAAGTAGCAGATTAGACATATCCAATGCAGATATTTTGTGTATCTCTATAGAGAGTTTACAGCATGGAATATCAGTGCTCTCTTTACTATTAGAGTCTTTAGCAGCTTATCTAACTGATCAAAGAGACAATTCCAGAAACCTGAGAACCAATCCTTAAAATTAAACTCATCCTGAAAATTCTGTTCCTCTAGAACCACTCTCAGCCCCAGGATGAAACTGTTGTGTAGGTTGATTGTGGCGGTGGATACATGAACCTATGCATGTGACACAGAGAACTAAACTGGCCCACACAGAGAGTGAGAGAGAGACGAGTGTAAGGAAAACAGGAAAATCTGAATAAACCCCATGGACCGTATCAATGTCAATTTCCTGGGGTGGGGGGGTGGATATTGTAGCACAGTTTGCAAGATATTGCTATTGGAAGGTAACTGGGTAAATAGTGAGAGATGTCTCTACAGCATTTCTTACAACTGCATGTGAATATACAACTACCTAAAAATAAAATGTTAATTAAAAAAAAAATAAAAGGACTCATTTTATACCCAGTAAAGGAGATGCCTCAGCTGTTGACACTAGCAGATTCCTGGGCCAGGAACGGGTGAGGAGTCAGTTGTCAACTAAAACTTTCTGATTTATCACAATAGAAACACATCACTGAAATACATGGAATAAGCTTCACTTCTAATCACCAGGCCTGTGCGGTCCAGCACAGAGTCGCGATCCACACGTAGCTTTTGAACACTTGACACACTACTGGTCCGAGCTGAGATGTGCTGGAAGAGTTCACGTCCTGTAGGGTAAACCCCGTAGCAGTGGGGAACTGATGCCACTGCACACATGCCCCCATCCTCCCCCCACTTTACACGACACTTGGCCTGCTCGCATCCCCGGTCACAGTGGCCAACTCGATGGCACATCTCCATTCCGGCTCTCGGCCCCGTAAAGTTCTCGCACATGCCTTTGTCTCGGGCCCTGCTTGCTGCCAAGCCCAGGCCAAGACAGGCTCCCTGGCTGCCTGTTCTGCAGTAGCCATCCAGGCCCCAGCACCCGACCCCAGGGTCTCAGCCCCTGGCCTGCTCTCTTGCCTGCAGTTTTGTTCCTGATGACCTTGATCATTTGTTGACTTTTGTTTTTCTCCCAAATTAGGCTGCAGATTCTGTGAGCTCTGCCCCCAGCACCTGAGTCAAGCCAGTCACATACTTGGTGCTCATTAAGTGAGATGGAAAGGAACGGCCCTGACCACACCTGCCTGTTCCTCTTTTGGAACATTGGAGAAACCCAGATCCTCCATTTATCAGGCTGAGCTTCATTGTCAGACCTGAGTGGTAATCCCTGGTCCTCCAGCCAGACACAGTCATTCCAAAGGAGCGAACTCGACATGGTTAGAGCAGACTAGCTATCAAGTCTTTATTCTGGAGGGCAGATGCTCCTTTTTTATAACATTAGGATGCTTTCTTTCAACCCACCCAGCTAGGAGCTCACCCTCAAAGGTGATAAAGGTGAACAGAGAAGTGAGCGTTGAAACTTAGGTGTCCGAGAGCACTCGGGACAGTTCTGGGGACAGATGTTGCTCTCCAGGAGCTCCGATGGCCTTGAGGTCGGCTGAGCAATCCTAGGAAGGGTCCTCGGGCCCCAGGGTCAGGATGGGGGTGCTGAGGACTGGGGCTTTTGTTTGCAGAATGGGAACAGTAAGCATCTCTGGAGCTGGGCAGGTTGACAGCTTCTGATCTGATTCGCCAACCTCAGGGGTCGCGTGGGGGGTTCAATAAGATGGCGCATTGGGCCGGGGTTGTGGCTCAGTGGTAGAGTGCTCGCCTAGCGAGGCACTGGGTTCGATCCTCAGCACTACATAAATGTAAAATAAAGAGATTGTGTCCACCTAAAACTATAAAAATTAAAAATAAAATAAATAAATGAAAATAAAGGTATTGTGTCCAACTACAAAAAAAAAAATTTAAAAAAAGATGCCACATAGCGCTCCCGAGCCTCTTGTCATTGCCATCAGCCAGGTTACTCTTTCCCACCTATGACCCTGTCCTTCATCATCAGACCTACGAGGCCAGCCACGGTCCTCCCACGAGGACCACATTCCCCCCGAAAGGACAGAGCCCAAGCGGTGGCCCTAACTCAGGGCAACATGGCTGCAGGCCATGTCTGGCGATGGCTGGAGGCTTTCAGGGGTCACAACTGGAGAGAAGGCACCGCTGGCAGGGACACCGGATCAACAGGACAACGGACAGTCCCTCAAAATAAAGAATGGATAAAAATAAAGGAACGAATCAGTCCTGAGTTGGGAAGTCAGCCAACTGGCTGACCCGGAGCCCCTGGCCCTTCCTTGTTCCCCTCAACCAAGACACCAGTCACTGAGGAGAGAAAGGGCACAGAGTGGGTGGAGGGAGGAGCAGAAACCCTGCAGGACCACGGAGCCAAACGCCGGGTCTGGGGCACCCCGGCCCCAGCTGAAGTCAACTTGGAACCTGGAAGACTTTTCCTGCAGGAAAGAAAGGCCAGAGGCCCCCATTAACACCTCGGGCACCTCCAGTCCCCACCTCTAGGGGCCGTCGTGATCCTCACACATACACTGAGCTCCGGGAGGGAGGAGACGGGTCCACAAGGCCATGCTGCCCCAGAGATGAGCCAACTGCCTGGTCAGGAGGCCACTGAGGTCAGCCATCTTGGAACCAGAGCCACCACTGGACTGTGCCCTGCTCTGGGAACAAGTAGCCATGTACCCTTCCACCCCTGTGGCTTAGCCACCCAGGAATCACGCCTGCCTGTGGTCCACCATCCCCAGGTCAAGGTGCTTGCTCTGCTGCCCGTCACCTCCCCACCTGGGGCCCAGCTAAAACGTACGATGCCTCCCAAGGAAAGGGTAGGGCCACCCCATCTGCTCTCCCAGTCACCGCTCCACAGAGCCCAGGAGGAGATTACACTGCCTCCCAGGAAAATGGTGCCCCAGCCACCCAGGACAGCTCCTGTTCCACCCAGGACAGCCCCTGATCTACCCAGGACAGCCCCTGTCCCACCCAGGACAGCCCCTGTCCCACCCAGGACAGCCCCTGTCCCACCCAGGAGCCTCTGTTCCACCCAGGAGCCCCTGATCCACCCAGGACAGCCCCTGATCCACCCAGGACAGCCCCTGTTCCACCCAGGACAGCCCCTGTTCCACCCAGGAGCCCCTGTTCCTCAGGAGAAGTGGTGCCCTGCCTCCTGGGAGGCTCTGCCTTGGCCACCCCTGCTCCCTGGAGCCCGAGTCGAGTCGCAGTGGAAGACATGATAAAGGCAGGGACAGAAAATTAGCCAATGAAGCAATCGCTGACCACTTCCCAAGCCTTGGAAGAGATATGGACATCCCCAAGGTGAAGCTCCAAAGTTCCCAAAGAGACTCAATCCAAGGGGGTCTTTCTGAAGTAGTATTACAATCCAACTGTCAAGAGTCAAGACGGAAAGAATTTCGTTCTTAAGTGACTTTCTTAAGAAACTGGGTCCTGCTAGTCGCCCGGGCTAGCCCTGAATCCCTGGGCTCAAGTGACGCTCTGCCTCAGGCTCCTGAGTGGTTGGGCCTGTAGTAATCTACCAGCATGCCAGGCTTCCAGAGAAGTTTAAAAGCAGCCAGAGAAAAGCATCAAGGAACATGTAAGTCTCTTATCAGATCACCAGCTGATTTCTCAGCAGAATCCCTTCAAGCCAAGAGAGAACAGAATGACATAGTTAAAGTACCGAAAAATTATTTTAAATGCCAACCAAGGGGCTAGGGGTATAGCTCAGTTGGTTGAGGGTTTGCCTCACATGCACAAGGCCCCGGGTTCAATCCCCAGCATCATACACACACACACACACACACACACACACACACATCCTGCCAACTAAGACTACTATT